TTTACTTTACGGGTTACCCTCATTATTACCTCCATGTCCTAGACGAGCTAGCTGCTTCCTCACCGTGGGAGAGTTCAAATTTAAAGGCAGCAAAAATCCAAAACGACTTCATCGCCTAGAAATAGCATTACCTTTTTGGCTGGTGCAACTTCAAGTGATTATTGAAACTCGTAGAGCTACCCCCCCCCCCCTCCATTGATAGGAAAAGCTCAACGATGGCAAAAGGTGCAAAAGGCACTCATCATCGCGCCATGGGAAGTTCTCGCTGAATAGCCCGGTATCTATTCTCGTGAACTTCTTCTTCCTTTTCTTCTTCTTTGGTACAACCTTGCAACCCCTTTCGCAACCGACACTACCCTTTTACCTATCTTTGGACATTAGTTAGGTTCGATGAATAGAAGTGAAGAGTGCATGGCCATGTCCCATGAACTCTTGCCATCCCTTGACCTCGGTAGGCTTTATTGTTTCCATGAGGTCGACGATGAGGAGGTAATGAGCAATGAGCACATAAGTTTTTTGCTGTCGAGCGGGAGGTGGGGCGGGGGGGGGGTAGCCATCAACAGGGAAAGTTTTTTTTCTAACGCCGCAAATTTCTACAACGCCACCGCTACACAGGGCCAAATACTGCCTCCCATTGTGTTTCACAAACGGTGATGTCCCCTGTGCCGCATGCACGGACCATGAGATCGAATGACGTGTCCGGTCCTGCTAAATCCAGTTAATCCTCCTATTATGCCGTGGTCGCTGAAAAAGGATCAGGCTGTTCCGGGTGAATAAAAATAGTGTTTCGGTAATAGTGTTGCTTCCGCAAGTCAACGTGGTAAAGGTGAAGCATGCAAACAATATGTATGTGGGTTCCATAGTGAAAGCCCATCGCGGAGCGTGACTCGAAAGAAATGGATCAATTTAGATCTACGGAAAAGCGTGAGGTCCCCATATGAGTTCAGTTAGGGGCGAAGCATTCGATTATACTCATAATTTTGTGGACTACATAATGTTGACTAGCTAGTCTTTCATTCTTACCCAATCATTGGGTCTTAGGTGGATTGAATAAGTTTCTTCTTAAAGACAGCTCCTGCGATAAAAGTGTCATGGATAGTTGCTGTTCAATTATGAAACAGTAGCTGATAAGTAATTCCCCAAAGAAGAAAAAAAGCAAGAAGAGTCCTCAAGAACACCATAAACAAAATCGCTCCCTGACAGTCACACCTTCCTGCGGTCTCTGTGCAACCCCTGGCTCACAAATCCCTTTATCACATCTCCCAGTAGTGGATATCATCCAATGCAAAGAAAAGAATACGAAAAACAACAAAAACACGAACGAAAAACACTAAAAAAAGAAAATTCAAAAACTTGGCGTCCGAATTTGGGGTTACGTGCAGTGTGCAGCTTTTAGTGCATGTCGAGCTTTTGCACCACAGAAATTGCATCACTCGTGATTTTTACGCGTTTTACCTTCGAGATGGGTTGGAGTTGACTGTATGTGCTCCTAATGAATAAAATGTAATAAAGGAGAGCAGAATCATTCATGGGCACGAGCGCGGTCAGCAAAAAGGACATGCAGTTCCGATTAATGCCCGCCGTCCCAACAAAGAACAACTGAGCGGCCTCCGTCAGAGGGCATCTAGCAAGTGGGCGGTCCAATGGGCGGGCGTTAGAACTAGAACTTTCAGCTGTAGCTCGCTCCTCGCTCGCTGTGGAGTCGCGAGAGTGGGACAGTCTCTAGCTTGGGGGCTGTACTACTTGCACAAGGAAGGGCGACCATGTACTACTCGAGCGCGGGGCTGTCTTTAATTGATCCCTACTAGCTCTTTGGTGGACTGGTACTGTAATGGATTAAAGCTCACGTGACTTGTTTTACTTTACACTTACTTATCCGTTTATTAGGTTGAGGAAGTAACTATGCGTGCTCTGTCTATTATCCTTCATTTGTCGTCCAACTGAGATCCGGAATATTCGCTGTAGATGAGCCAAATGACTCAAAGCATCCGAAAAGCCTTCAGGAATGTTTTTCTTTGCTACATTCTGGTACTTATCACCTTCTTCAGGGTTGAAATAGCCGTCTATTAGTGTAATTAGATGTTTCATAATGTTTTATATGATGTTTTATACTAAAGGCATAAGACCCGATAATTCGGTGCTCGATCTAAAATGATAGCAAGAGATGGCTACTAGAAGGCACAGTTCGGGCGAGACCGCAAATTGCGGGAAACGGAACTCAAATAGGCACAAAAAGTGCTAAGTATCTGATTAGCGGAGAAAAGCAGCAGAAAAAGCAGTCCGAAATGTTATAGAGAAAGATAACATAGTGGCTACTAGCTAGTAGCTAGCAGCCGGTGAGGGTCGGCATGGGCCTAAGGGGTGTCCATGGGCCTAATTAGCCAGCTTCTAGCGGAGTTCTTGCCGTTTTTCACATTTTGAAAGTAACGCAGCCTCAAAAATCGCCTTCCGGATCGTCCGACACATTTGAGAGGTCATAGCCCTTAATTTTTTCGCGGAATGTGGCCTTTAAGTGGGAAATAGCGAAGTGCACGCGTCGAAGCCTGCAAAAAGCCTCTTTCTTGGCACATCTCAGAAAGCACTTTCGGACGAGTTTATCGTTGACACCGTACCTTTAACCACTACGGTAGATACGGCTGCATTTATGTACTCATAATCCATGCAGCACCGCAGCCGCTTCATATCAATCCCTTCGCTTCATATGTACTTCGCAAATGAAGCGATACGAGCATCAGCATCGGTAGGACACATATGTGCGTGCTGGCGCGGTAGGCGATATCTTCCTTGGAAAAGGCGCCACGCAGCGCCTGCGAATCCTGACGTGCTAGGCGAATTAATTCTACACGCCTTGGGGATTTATCGTGCCACTTGCCTTTGAAATCCTTACCAATGGGCTCTATGGGAGACAAATATCCATTTCATTTCATCTATGGGAGACAAATGTCCATTTCATTCATTTTTTTCCAGCGATTTTGCGAAGAATAAGTGAGCTCGGGGAGCGAAGATCATCTGCGGTAACTTTTGGAGAGGAATACGATGCTCCGAAGGATTTGGGGCTTGCTGGAAGTATTAAGATGCGATAAAGAAGACTAATGGAAGCTGGAAACCGCACTACGTTGGTATTGTGACCAAGACAGCCTCTACGTCATCATTCAGTCGCACAACGCAAAGATTGTTCAAGACAGACCAACTAAGGAGGGAAAGTTGTTTCACGTTCCATGTGACCCTGATACTGCCCCATATATGTGCCGTTTGCTCACACCGATGCGACACTCCCTGGCTAAGAAAAAAAATTCAAGAATAACGAAGGATTCTGCACCTAAGTATTTGGTTCGACTCACACCCAACCAAGTATTTTTTGAACGACATCCACCATAACCATAACAGGAGCGAAAAATGATGACTCAAGCATGACAGTAGGGATGACCCCCTCGGGTAGTTCTCGGGTAGATTGGACAGTTCTTATTTTAAATGTAGTAAAAAATTCTATTCTATGGTCAAACGGGCGTGTCCTATTAGCTGCGGATGCTGGGTTGTTAGGAGGCTGGGTTTGGCGCGGCGCCAGCCTGTCTCCACCTTTTGTTGAAGTGGGTCAGTGACGATAATTAGCGGAGAACGAGCTGGCGACGCGCCAAACTCATCCCCACTGACACGCCCAGCATTCGCAGCGAACAAAACCGTGCTTCCTCAAATCACTAGTTGTACTGCAGCTTCAGTGCGAGATTCCATTCATGCCAATCTGTTGGAGCATAACCGTACACCCTCCTAAACGATGTCCTCTATGATGTATGTATGGAACCAATGGGATGCAGCAGCAAGTGCCATGTGACGCCGCTAGCTGCTCAATTGCTGAATTGGGTTATATCTCTGATGGGCTCCCGCGCAGGTCAACCAGTCTTTCTTCCTTATCCGCAGTGTTGGTTATCTGGGAGTGGACTCTTCTGGGGAAATCAAAACACCGAACTGTACATTCTCTAAAACCGAATCCACTGTATAACCTAGATGGCATTCAAACCCCGGTACAGTCTCTCAGCTCACCGGAGATGCATGCGAGCCGGGCCACTTAGGGGATGGCTCTAGTGTGGCATTCGATCCGTTTATTCGTTTTTTTCTTCAAGCGAGAAACGATTACATTTCTCGTTGCCTCGTACACTCTTCTTCTTTGCTCGCTCAACAGGCCGTCAACAATTCAGAAAGGAGAATCGGCGCTGGCGCGCTACGCTAAAGCCATCGCATTTAACATGTCCCCCATCATGCGACATCGCCGAACGTGGCCACACACCTGTTTCCGACTTTGAAGGTCGAGTGCTGTGTGCCGCATCTCGAACAAATTGTATCTCGTCCTTCTGAAAGCTTTCGCCACGTTTCCTTCAACATATAAAACCATAAATCGCTACACATCAGACACGCTAAAATGCGACCCTATTTTTATTTGCCCTCTCTTGACGCGTGTGTTGCAGACTCCCTTGTTGCCATCGTGAATCGACCATTCCAACAATGTTGCCACGGATGTCGCCACATTTCCCACATTTCCATTGGGCCACCATGGCAAAGTGTCAAAGAACACTACCGTAGTCAGCACTCCAAAGAGTTCTCGTCGTCTCATCTTCCGCAGTGAACATCGATCTCCGTGCACATCATAGTATAAAAAGGACATCTCCTCCATACAATAATCTCTTGAAAGCTCCTTAGAAATCCACCATTCCTTCTAGGCGGCATGTGCTACATATAATTTCATCTGGTATGCACGTTCAGCAGAATGATGGATCATTTAGATCATTTGGGACAGAACGTTTTTATCTATCACAGGCATTCCTAATCACACTTCCTTTGTCGCGTTCATACTTTTTGTGCTCTTCGCATCGCCTTCGTCGTCCTCTTCGTCGCCTTTGTTCTGTGGCTGTCGAAATTAAAGTCATTTAGGGTTTCAGATGATGATGCCTCCTTGGTCCCTCGTTTGCCTCGCAGTGACGGTTACTGTCGTTTCCACACAGTACCGTAAGTTTTAGAAGCTTGCACGGCACTTTCGCCTCATTTTTTCTTCAAATGTTCCACTTTCCAGTTTCCGATGGTGGCGAAAATGAGAAACGAAACGATTTCTCACGCGACATTATGCACTTCGGCAAGCGAGCAGTCATTCCAGCGGTAAGATTTAGCTTAATGCTTATTTCATGAAGATAAGGAACTAGGAAAACGTAGGACTGATCCTTCTGGGAAGAATCTGCTCCATAGTGATTTTTACTGAAAACCAGGAGGTTGCTCAGGTGTTGGGATGCATATACAGGTTTGACTTCCGGACCCCGCACATGGTAACCAGCGTCAGTTGTTACTATATAACCTCTGTTCTGCCTTCAATACTAGGTGTCCAGTGGAGGGACCAAAGGAAAACATCAAGCATCAGTCAAACATCAGTTCTAATTTCAATAAATCTGCAGTATCCCAGACGACAGAAACACGGAAATCCGAGGATGAAGGATTCTGAGCTTTTTCTGATTATCGTTTTGTTTGCTTCGTAAAGTAATCTTTTTCTGAGCTTTTGTATCTATCAAAAACTTTGTATGCGAGTTGGTGGAGAAAAAGAACCTCCACTCGCAAGAAATACTTACTCTTGGCCCTTTTGAGCAACATTTACGGCGCACAGCTGCATGAAAAACTTCGGTTCTACTATTACCTCAATGTTCCGCTGTTATCTTGGAGCAGATTGAAGCATATGGGTAAATTCCATTACTGGGTCACTCGTAGGCAGGTTCCCGGAACTGCACTGTCTATGCAAAGATTCCAGTTCCCTTGCAAAGAAAGTGAACGTGCAGGTTATGGTTGTGTAAGGGTTTGCCCGTCTCAGGATTGGTCAAGCGTAAGACCTCCTTCTCGCTTTTTATTTCCTTCCTTCTTTTCTTCCCTTCCTTTCTCTTGCTTCTTGCTTCTCCTTCTGAATTCACATGCTTGACCAGTGGAAGCCATGAGAAAATATTTCTGGACCCTCACAACGAGAGTATTTGGTTGACAAAATAGCTCAAAGTAACATTCATAATATGTCATACCAGTCGGATCACCCGGCTGCCGCCGGGTGCTCCTCCTTCTTTGTCACGGCCCGGCTTCGCCGGGCACTCTTTCTTTCGGCGAGGTAGATTGTGCAAAATACGCTAACAGTTCATAGCTCATATCAATATCGTCGATCGCCAGCTGTCTCCGGGCTATGCGGATTTGCCGCGTGCTAAGTTACGGATTGTTGACCACGCTGTTCAAAGGAATCTTCTGCATCAGCCAAGAACTGAAAAGCAACGCTCTTTCCGTCAAGACGAAGAAGCAGCAGCGCCCCCCCCTCGCATCACAGAAGGAGGAGAGCCGGCCTTGGCCAGCGAACGGACTGGTACGTTCATAACCTACACAGGAATAGTGAAGCCTGGTAGGATAGCCGCTGAAGCAGCCTAATTCATGCATTCTGTCCTCCTAAAGCGTCTTGCTTTGGAATGCACTCCCGCATTCAGCAGTGGAACCCTTTAAATGGCCCTCACTAAGGTTGTTGATGGAAGATAATTGTGGTAAGAGTGATTAAGTCAATTGCTGCTGTTCATAACATCTCTGTAAACAAACCCATGCATTTGGAATAGAGCTAGCTTAGCGGTCGTACATGATGTCGTTACTAATAAGCAGTGGAATGAGTTCTGTTGGAATCATTGAGATCGTTATACTTGAGCCATATCAATCGCATTGTTGTTGTGAGCGGTGAAGCGGATTTTCCCATGTTACTTTGTCCCTTTTTAGCTCCTATTCACATTCCGTACGCCCCAATAATCATTCCCGTCCCGTATCACTATCATATCACCCTATATCGCCTCTCGGATCCAAGGTCCCACTGTTGCTGTAACCTGCGTTACGAATTTGATGATCCTTCCCTTCCGAAACCGCTTACCGTGTATTATCAACTGTCACCACTTTCTGTCACCCAATGATTCTCGACCAGTCCCACCATCCAGCTATAACAGGGGCCTCTCCGGATTCAAGGTCCCACGCTGCTGTAACCTGGTAAGCGATTTGATGACGCCTCGCCTTCCGAGGCGCCTTATCAACTATACTGTTTATCCTTTCTGTCACTGGCCGCAACAATGTCCGTCCCACAACCTACATGACCTCTCGGATCCAGGACCCACTGTCCTGTGAGCCGCTGTGAGCCACTTTTGTTACCTTCCCTTCTAATGCCCATTATCAGATCTTATCAGCTGATATCACATCCTGTCAGCCGCAGATAATGTTCCCATCCCAAACCTTATATCACTTATCAAAACCAAGATCCCCATGTGTATTGCTGTCCACCGCAGCTGCGCGTTATGAATATGGTGACCTCCCCCTTCTAACGCCTCTTATCGTATCTTATCAACTGATATAACTTCCTGTCACCCACCGATAGTGTTCCCGTCACACCGCCTAACATACTTTTAAATGACTGTCTATCATTGGCCACGGGAGACACGGCGCTATGATTTCGTGTACACACAGAACAGGGAGCAACTAACACATCACAGAACACAATACCAACTACGACAGACACATGTCGAATTATATAGAAGTAGGGATCATGTGCTCAGTATGGCGCTAACTCAACGCGACCGCTGCTTCACCATCACTGAGGGAATCGTGCGTTATCAGCAGGCAGTTGCTGATGATGGCGAAAGATTTCCACACAAGACTCGAGCCCGACGCTTTCCTCCTCTGGTACCGCGGCACGTCGTATATTGGGGATCCCCAGCGAAGGAGGTCGCATTTGTGGCCGAAGGGAGGACGGGGCCGTCTTGCTTTTGATGTTGGAATTTTGATTGCTGAATTTTCCTTCTTTCACTGCGCTTTTGTTTCTCGCTTCCGTTCGAAGGCACTTTTCGGAGAAAAAGAGGGATTTCCAAAAAAATTCTAGAAAAGTGGTAGAGAGCTGGGAAACCTAGGAAGATAGCAGGGTGCGATGAGGTCAAGGAGGGGGGAAGGAAACTAGACACATTTACACTGTTGGCGAGTAAATTACACCAATATATCCTTGAAAACTATCGTGTTTTTCAGAAAGTTTCACACACGTAGCACGATGATCTTTCTGGTACGATCCTCTTCTCATCCTATCTACCATAGCTACCATCTTTCTAGGTTTTTCTAACTTCCGCCCATTCAAAGTAGTATCGAGCTAGGAAGGAATAGATTGCGCTATAGCGTATTTGAAACAGGAACAGCCGACAGAAGTCAACAAACGAGAAACTCCTTTTTCATAAGACAATCTGCCCCTCCCCCTCCCTCCCTCCAACGACTAAATATGACCCTCTTTGAGGATCTCTAACGTACGATGTGCCCTGACTGCAACGATTATCTTTTACGATCCGGGGTTTCCTATCAGATGATATATAACTTGCTTGCAAAACATTTCACTTTTACCGAACAAGTTTTTCAACAATTAAAAAAACGCCATATTATTAGCCAACCTAATATTCAAACTGTTCGATGTTAATGGGTGAGAAAAATTCATCTCAGAAAAAAATCATGCATCTGAATGAGATCCATTTTTAAATTGTTGCAGGGATACAAAAGCAGTAACCGTACAGATGTATGAGATGTTTTCTTTCAGTTTCAGAGATGCGAGACATCATGTCGTTCGGCAAGCGATCGGGAGGATTCGAAAGGGAAATGATGAGCTTTGGGAAGAGGTCGCCGGTCAGTTCGAACTTTGAAATCTAAAGAACAACGCATCACTTTTGACCCATTCATACTTAACTAGCAACCACTTCTGGTCGCTGTCTCCACTGGCTGTAACCCTAAAGGTATAATTCACGGTTAATCGTTAAAAACATTGTAGCGCGGGTTGAGGAGTGGGTATTTCACGCTAGTTGAACTACTTGTGAAGAAAATAACAGAGAACTACTCGTGAAGAAAAAGCAGAGGAAACCGCCAAAAAGGACCTAATCGAGACCCATGAGAAGCGAAGATATTGAAAATTGGAAAGAACGACAGTCATGAGCAACGAGAGGAGAAGGCGAAACCAAAGCGGTGTGGCTGAACTTGGGCTCTGGAGGACTTGTTTGAGCAACACTGCTGTCTGTCTATCTTATGACCCTTTCTGACAACTTTAAAGTGGGTGCAAGGATGTCCAAGGCGTCCCACATTACCATTCCCCCACACATTGCACTGATTTTTAGCAGTAGCCGCAAGGTGTGCCTTCAAGAGTGGCGTTTATTCTGCAACTTGTGACAACAAACGACTTCTAATATCAAGAGCTGATTCTGCTCTCGTTTAGATTCCTAGCAAATGTAATCTGATGCGCAATGTCCAGTTTGGTGTTCTCATTCTCCAACTGCTTCCTGTTCGCTGCTAATGAAGGGGCGTGTTAGTGAGAATGGGTTTGGCGAGCTGCCAGCCCATTCTCCGCCAGTTTTTGAAACGAGTGAGCGACAAGCACCGGCACAGGCAGAACTGCAGAAAGGCAAATTAATAGAAAAACAGGCTGGTGCCCATCCCCCCATGACACTCCCCGTCGTCCTCAGCGACTGTATTTCAACTAATAAATACTTTTTCCTCCTTAATGGGACTTTTCTTGTAAAAGAAACACCAGAGAGAGAGAGGGAAAGACTGTGACACGCACACGTATTCATTGTATTTTTTCAGTCCATTCCAAAATCAGAGTCCTCTTTTTCACGAAAACTCTCTCCCTCTCGAGATTGAGCTCGTGCTCAAAACTTACGCAGTTGTGAACGTCGCACTTGGTCGAGTCGCTGTCAGCAGGGGCGGAATTAGACCACCAAAGGCGCTTTCATATTGGTTGTATTCTTGCTGGAATCGATCACTCCTATCATTACAGGTAGAGAAAGGCAGCCAGTGGGGCTCACTCCGCTCCTCCTAACATCTCCCCGAGTGGTGGGGCGATATCACTTACAAACCAGGTCATTTGATAACAAATTATAATATTTCAGTTCGAACGTGAATTTCTGCCATTCGGTAAACGCGGGGAATTCGACCGAGAGATGTTATCATTTGGTAAAAGGGACGATTTCGAGCGCTCTATGATGTCATTCGGACGACGAAGGAAGTGAGACGAGTGCAAATAAATATGATCGTGAATGTCGTAGTTAAATGTCGCCTCGCGTCGCTTCTGCTTCATTCGTTGTTCATTCATCTCATTTTCATCATTACTTAGCCGCCATGTTCATACACACCCACACACATACACGTCGTCACATAGAAATATGGTTCATTCATATGCGTACATTTCTGTCGCTGCACAACGATAAATCCGTTAATAAACGGCTTGTCAGCGTTCCTAATCTTTATGGATAACCTTGATGATTTTTCGTTTAATCGCAACATCTTGTTTCTTCACTCGTTCCCAACATCTGAAAGAACTCAATGACTTCGCGCTATAAATCGAGGCGTTATTCCGGCTCTTAAGTAGAAGCGATCCTTCGCTCCGGGACCGGTCTTCTCCATGTGGGAGGTAACTGGGTCCGCAGCTGCAGTGGCGAGCTACTTCTCCACTTCGAAAGTGCACGGAAACGGGGCTAAAGCAAGTGTTACTCGAGTGCCTTCTCCATACCCGCGCGCGCTATCCTCAATGTGCAGCCCTTGCGTCGATATCTAGGTACCGCAGGGAAGCACGAACTCAGAAGTGGAGAGCATCACAAGTAAGAGAGCGCAGACAAGTAGCGCGTTTGACTATGGTTGAGCGTTTGGTTGGACGTGCGTCAGCGCGGAGGGTATGGAGATGATACTCAGCTACTACTACCCTCCTGTTTCATTCCTACCGGCCTAGGATCAGGATCAAGGGAGGTGAGTGTACAGTTCATTTCTGAAGGCAGTGGGCACGACTGTTGGAGGCGGGCGGTTGCTGCCAATGTCACTGGTGGAAGGGCTGCGAGAAGACGTTTGGCCACACCCTACTCCGCCATTCCACCAATGACGTTGGCAGCAACCGCCCGCTCACAGCTATCGTGCATAGTGCCTTAAAAATATGTCCTTTGAACAAGTAACACGTAAGGTACCTCTGTGCCTTGGTAATCAGGCCCGCAGTCTCACAGAGACCATCTTGGACTTTCGTCTCTCGAACGTGCGAGATTAGGACGACAGAAGTGCCTGACTTGTGCGAAGCTTCATTGCTACACGTTTGCGTAGTTCGGGGGGGGGGTGTTTGCGATTGGTACTGTCTATAGTGCGATGTTGCACAGTTCTTAAAGGCAGTTGGCACGATAAATCCCCCAAGGCGACTAGGATCAATACTCCTGGCAGGATAGAATTCCGCGACCCTGGGCAGGCGCTGCATAGCGGTTTCCCCGAGGAAGGTGCCCTTATAAGGGCCCTATCAAGCCACAACTTTACGTCCCAAACGCCCACAAATGGACGACCGTTCCTGACGCTCGTATTCATTTGCTAAGCAAATTATGAAGCGAAGGGATTGGTATGAAGCGGCCGTGATGCTGCATGCATACATGGGTACACATATGCAGCCGTATCTTCGGTAGCGGTGATTGGTAAGATGCCTACGGGAAACTCGTCCGAAATCGATTTACAACTGAGAACGGAGGCTTTTTCTTCGCAGGATTTTGACCGTTTCACTCCGTTCTTTCGCCATTTCCCCACTATACAGCGCCTTACTAGCATTTCAGTAAATAAATATACTATAAGCATCTAAGTAGGAAACCATCGTGCCAACTGCCTTCAAATTGCGGATCGGTTGAACTATCCCTGACTCCCTTTATTCCTGGACCGCTTTAGTGAAGCACTCTATTATACTGATCCAACGTGAACCATTAGATCAGAATAACGAGCAAAAAATACCTGAAAGCGCTGCTGGTCTCGGCCAACCATTGTTTCCCAACCAAGCAGTAGACCACCATGAGCTCGTCGTCGCCAACCTGATCGCCCTTCTTTCGGAGCATCACCTGAAAGGTTGTATGTCGGTTCACTCAACTGAAGTGAGGTTCTGAGCTAATTATATCAGACCAAAATATGTTTTTTTTTGCAGTCTTGTATGACTTTGAAAGGTCTTTTCACCTGTCGTTCAACCAATAAAGTCCCATCTTGGAATGTCAAGGAGTATATGGGGGAAAACTTCATTTGGGCTTCGGTAAATACCGTATACTCTAGCTGGTCGTATTACGCTTATGGACAGATTGTACACCACCACCTCCGAGGACGTCTCGCCCGTGAATGGATCTGCAGCTGCAGTAGCGTGCCACTTCCTCCGCTCAAAAGTGCAGGAAAGGCTGAAGGGTAGTGGCCCCGTCCCCATGCTCCGCCCGTATCGATGCAATGATGCTCAAGATACAGCACCATTGCATCGAAACAACCAGATGTGAGAGGACGCGGACAAGTAGTACGCTTAGCAATTATTAGGCGCCTGCTGGCCGTGTGGCGCGGGCGTAGTAGGGAGACTACACTCAGGTATCGTTACCCTACTGCCTGTTGTCGTGCACTTTTAGGCGGATAAAGTAGCAGGCTAGCTGCGGACGGACCCCTCCACACGCGGCAAGGAGGAGAATCCGCGGAGGTGATTGTGCACAGTTTGTCTTCGAAGTCGCTTCATACCAGGCACCTCCAAGCAGGAAGCTACCTCACGTTAGGCGAAATGGCGGTGTCAGCACAACTTCTACCTCCAACCTCCTTGCCACCACGCACCCCTTCCTCCTGTTCTACCGACTATGTTCCTAAATTTTCCTAGATTCCTACCTTTTTTTCCAGAAATTTCTCCGGGTTCGCCCAAAAACTGGAACTGAAGCGGAGGATAGTTGTCATCAATTAACGACTATGGCAATTCTGTGGCGCTAATAATGGTTACAGGCAATATGAACAAAAGTCAAAAAGAATATTTTTCGCAGCTTGGATCGTTTTTCCCGAAGGTCATATTAAAAACCCTCTCCCAGCAATGCCGTAAGCTGCCTCCAGATGAGTCGTTGGAAGGGCTGTTCACGGGTTTTAAGGTTAGGTTCCAGTGAACCAGTTTATCTAGGAACGCCCGCCAATCTCTACATGACCTCACTCTACAACTTGAAGACAATCCATTTGATCACCTGCAAGACAGGTTTTCCCAAATGTGAGGTGGTTCGTGGCCGCAGAGGTGCCCCTTTTTTGTTATTCGGTATGCGTGATTATTATCACTCGACGTCCCTGATGATCCGTCCGCCATTCGACTAACCCACAGTTTTAGCGCGTTACATATCAGGAAAAGGACACGACAAAATAGGAACGGCTTTAAGTTCAGCTTCATTCAATTAACGTGACATGATCGAGTATGAACATCTTAATCCAGAGCGAAGTCATGTATGGACCAACGGATGTCCTTTATGCACAGCAGCTTCGAAATTAATTAACATGACGTGAAATCCAGTGGAATGGCAAGCTCAAAAAGGTGGTATTGAAGCATGAGAAAATTTAAAGGTGCCCGTTCTGTTGAGGATAAGCTGTGGACAAAATAAGAGCTTTATCGAGTGGTCTCACAGTCGCCCACATGGTCCGGATCCATCCTAGACTGATAGTCATCTTACGTGTTGAGGTTGTCGATAAGCGCTTTGAGTGAAGAACGTGCCACCAAATAAAAAATTGGCGGCAACGGTCCAACTACTCAGC